TCAGTAGATAATGGATCAAGAAAATGTGGCATATATACACAATGGAATTCTATGCCTCCATCAGAAAAAATGACATTGCCCCATTTGTTAGCAAATGGAAAGACTTGGAAAAAAAAATATATTAAGTGAAGTAAGCCAGACCCAAAGAAACATAGGTCCCATGGTTTCCCTTATTTGCAATAACTAGTATATGTCTGAGACAAGCAGAAAAGGTCTGATAAGTTGATGTTAGCTGAAATGAACCCCAAGATAAGGACTCAAATGACTTTTCTTTCTTGCTATTGTTTCTAACATATTTATAAGATGATTTCTTTGTTGCATTGTAAGTCATTCCCCCATGTTATAACCCCCGTTTTCACTGTATTTGATGTTGGCATAATTTGTGGAGGGGAAGGAAAAATCACAAATTGTTTAAATAAAGATACAGGTGTATCCATTACAACAATGAGATATACAAGACGTTATGTGGAAAAATGAACTTTACAACTTTGGCGGGGGTACGGGGGGATGGAATGGGAGGACAGGGATGGGAAGGGGAAACAAAGGAGGAGGGAACAATGCTTGATAAGAAATTTACTCATTACCTTGCTCATGTAATTGTAACCCCTCTGTACAGTATTTTCGCAATAAAAAATCTTATTAAAAAAGAAAATATAAATACAAAGGAAAAGAGATAGCATAGGATAAAATTTTGGGGTCTGGTTTTAAATTTATAGTTTAAATTTATAGACAGAATCACCATTCCATGTAAATGCATACTGGTACACGAATATGTTTATGATGATTGTCGATATGTATTAATGAAAATGAAATAATTGCATTTATAATCATTTAATGTAATCTGTTCATCCCAGATTTATCTTGGCAGCAGCTCCATTGTCAGATGGATTCCCTGGTGGATGGGAACCACACTGCAGTAACAGAGTTCATTCTATTGGTCTTAACATATGACCCAGTCCTTTGAGCTATCTTCTTCATCATCATCCTGTGCATCTAGTGGGTGACTGTATCTGGCAGTCTCTGCACAATCCTTCTCATCAGCATCTCCACTCAGCTCGACCAACCCATGTAGTTTTTTTCTGAGCAATTTGGCTTTTGCTTCATGATCTTTTCAACTTCTGGAACACTGAACATGCTGGTTAACATCTTGGTGGAAAGAAAAACAATCGTCTACCATGCATGTGGCTTCCAGCATGGTTCAACTTGTTTCTTTTGGCTTTTTGAAGGCTTTATTTTAGCTGCCATGGCCTCTGATAGCTTTATAGCCATCTGCAACCCACTACTGTATTCAACCAAAATGTCTACACAATTTGTATGCTGTTAATTGTAGTAGCTTTCATAGGTGGATGTTTAATGGCTTCATCCTTTACAATTTCCTGTGTGTGTGTGTGTGTGTGTGTGTGTGTGTGTGTGTGTGTGTGTGTCCTAGGACTTGAACTCTGGGCCTGGGTGCTGTCCCTTAGTTATTCAGTTCAAGGCTAGTGTTCTTCCACTTAAGCCATAGCACAATTTCCGGCTTTTTCTGTTTATGTAGTGCTGAGGAATGGAACCCAGGGCCTCATGCGTGCATGGCAAGCACTCTACCACTGAGCTACCTTCCCAGCCCCACCATTTCTTTTTTTCCTTTAGTTTTCTGTGGGCCAAGTAGAATCAATCATTTCGCTTGTGATTTTTCTCCTTTAGTTGAGCTCTTCTGTTCTGATGTCAGTATCCTCACAAGTACTCCTTCATTTTCTTCTAGTTTTTCATGTTTCCACTGTATATGTCATAGCCATCTCCTACATCTACATCTTATCACCATCCTGAAGCTGTGCTCCACTGAGGACGCCAGAAAGCCTTCTCCATCTGCACCTCCCACCCACTGTGGTCACTCTGTTCTATGGGCCAGTTACATTTATTTATATGTGGCCCAAATCCACTGACCAGCTACTCCACTGACCAGAAAAGGTGATATCTGTGTTCTACATGGTGGTTATCCTCAGGTTGAACCCCTCATCTACATCCTCAGGAATAATGAGACCAACGGGGCTCCGAAGAGACAGTTTGGGAGGAAAATGTTTTCTTAATGAGACATTACTTTGTACAGTTTCTTATAGCAATTACTTTTCATAGTTGTATTAAAGAGAAGCTGAGTATCTGTTATCATCATCTCATCATCATCATCAGCAGCAGCAGCAGTATTACCATCCTTGTCATCATTATAATCATTAGCTTTAAGTAGTCATACCACAGAGTTCCATTCAATACAGCAGTTCATAAGTTTGATATGTGTTGGTCTTACTATCCAAGGTGGGTATTTGTTAAAGCTTTGGTCCCTAGTATTGTGCTATTAGGAGTACTGAAGGGAGGTGGGAGGTGCAGGTGGGAAAGTCCTGGTATTATCATTCAGTGGAGAGCATCTTATGTAACTGAAACTTCTTGTATATCTCTTATATGATAACAATAAAATGATGTTTAAAAAGGTGATACAAGTTTTAAGCCTTGAGGTTGCATGTGGAATGGCCAAAAACCATGATTATCTCAGGGTGAACTCAGTATGCAAATAGATAACCCAAACTTTAGTTATTCCCATCAAACACAGCGAAAAGTATAACCAGATAAAGAAAACAAGGTAACACACATGGGAGCACAAGGAAACAACCACCACCAAGCTACTGAGACTTTAACGTGAGGAAAGTTTTAGTTATTATAGACCATAATATTAATTTGATTAAAGAGGAAAGAATGGTTAAAACCATCTATTTTTAATCTCAGATACATAATAATTGGGAGTCTGTTAGCATCCTGTATGCTGGGTTTGGTGGTTCAAAAGCTGTCACCATGATCTACAATGACTGTCACTGTGAATGTCTTTTGAAATACCATGAGAAAAAGAATCAGGAAATCAAGGGGCTCATGAACAACCATATGGAATGGTTAAAGCTAATGCTAGATTTTATACTTGACAGTTAACACTATTTCTTTGTCCTACATATCAAGGTATTTATGATTCTTATAATTTTATCAGACTATTTGGCCAATTATACACCCTAGTAAATGTTAAACAAAGATGATAGGTCTATGCATGAAGAACAAGATAGAAACAAATAAATTGACCACAAGAGAATTGGTAACATCTTGAAAGATCACATTTGTTATGAGAATTGAGTTGTCCAATATTCACTGGAGAACCTGAAAATGCTCAATGATACTTTTGCATTCATAGTTAAATCTCTAGCTTCACTGGGGATTTAGACCCAAAGGAAAACAAAAATATATTTTAAGCTATGTGACCACTGTGCCTTTGTGCTGGTACTCAAAGGTGAATGTGTTCTCATTCCAAGAGGTAGGGGTTTGGTTTATGTTAAGACTTTTGTCTCTTGAGTTTCACTTGCTTAACCACAAGACAGAAACTCACATGATCCCAAACTTGACACTCAGAAAATGCTAGCTTTGAGATGCTTAGACTTGTGCTGATACTTAAAATTAATTAGAAGATTTACATATAAAGGTATACAAATCTTTTCAGAAACATTTATTTGTTTACACATATGAGTTTTTAAGGGTGTATAAAATGTTTAGTACATACATTCAGCAGGTTTAGAGTTTAGGATCAATATAGCCCCAAGTCAGAGATCGTTCTTAAACTTTTCAGTATGTACTGTTACACAAATATATATCACTTCCAAAGTTCCTTTTCATCACGTTAAAAATTTCCACTGAGAAATTATTATTACAGTAGAAAGTTATTTGTTTTATTTGAATGAACTTACTTTATATTGATATTAAGGTAATTTTTTGCACAGTGATTGCATTGGCATTTCAATGTATTTGCTAAAACACTATTACCTGTTTCAAATAGATAAAAGTATCCACGAAACTTGAACAGTTGGTGAAATAATAAGTAACCTCCTTTATAGCACTAATATAGAATGTATATCTGGTATCAGAAATATTTGTATGACTTCTGAGAAAGGGTACATTTAACTGATGGCTATCGTGAAATGTAAAACAACCTGGGCAATTCTATCACATGTTAGCATTAAGAAGATTGCAGAAATCTGTTTTACATTCATTGCTGGGTGTATTGGACTGTGTGCTTACTATAATTTCATTTTATTATTGCATAGTAACAAAGAAAGTTACATATTTGTAACGAGCACTTACCCAAATACAATTATGTAAATTGAATATGTAACTTCCTGTGTAATCATAAGCGAGTTACATAGTCTTCACTAAACTCTTCTAACTCAGTTCTACATGATAAAGAATATGATATTAGCTGGATGCTAGTGGCTTATGCCTGTAATCCTAGCTACTCAGGAGGCTGAGATCTGAGTATCAAAGTTCAAAGTCAGCCCAGGTAGGGAAGTGCATGAGATTATTATTTCCACTTAAGCACCAAAACCCTGGAAGTAGTGCTGTGGCTGAATTGATAGAACACTAGAAGTCTCAGGGACATTGCCCAGGACTGAAATACCTATGCAAAAATATCATTTTTGTGACATATAATGTAATATATGTGTAACACATAGTTCAATAGGTATATAATTCTTAACTGCATATTAAGAATTTATCAAGCATATATATTTATGTGTATGCATATTTACCAACTATGTAAATGTATCTTAACTGCAATCTGGATTTCCATACAATAACGTATTTATATTTTTTTTTCCTATCAGTGTACTCAGTCTTCTTTGTGGTTTTGTTCATTTGTTTTGGACTTTATTTTATTTTAAAACCTTACATTATGTAGATTAAAGAAAACATAAATAGGAAGGGAAAGAAAGAACATAGATAGAATTTTGGAATATAGATAGAATTTTGAGGGTTGTTTTGCTAAAATCAATTTTAAAATTATGGATGAAAACATCTTTCCATGCAAATGTGTACTGTACTGCTACTTAAATATGCTTATGATGACATTCAAGAAAATGACACTAAGAAAAACGAAATCATGAAATTTTTCATGTAATGTATTCATACTAGACTTATCCTGGCAGGAGCCCTATTATCTGATGGATTCCCTGGTGGATGGGAACCACACCACAGTGACAGAGTTCATTCTATTGGGCTTAACACGTGATCCAGTCCTTCGAGTCATCCTCTTCATCATCATCCTGTGCATCTACCTGGTGACCATAGCTGGAAATCTCTGCACAATCCTTCTCATCAGAGTCTCCACTCAGCTCCACCACCCCATGTACTTTTTCCTCAGCAATTTAGCTTTTGCGGACATGGGCCTTTCATCTTCTGTCACACCCAACATGTTAGTTAACTTTCTGGTGGACAAAAACATGATCTCCTACCATGGATGTGGCATCCAGATGTGTACAGCTTTCCTCTTTGGGCCAGTTGAGTGCTGTCTTCTGGCTGCCATGGCTTATGATCGCTTTGTGGCCATCTGCAACCCACTGGTGTATTCAACCAAAATGTCCACACAAGTTTGTTTCCAGTTACTTATAGTAGCTTTCATAGGTGGTTGTTTAAATTCTTCATCCTTTGCTATTTCTTTCGTTTCTCTAGTGTTTTGTGGGTCAAACATAGTTAATCATTTCTTCTGTGATTTTGCTCCTCTACGCGAAGTTGCCTGTTCTGAAGTTAATGCCTGCATACTTCTTGCCACATTTGCTGCTTCCTCCATCCTTGTGATCACAGTGATTATCATAGCCGTCTCCTACATCTACATCCTCATCACCATCCTGAAGATGCGCTCCACCGAGGGCCGCCAGAAAGCCTTCTCCACCTGCACCTCCCACCTCACTGCAGTTGCTCTGTTCTATGGGACAGCTATGTTTGTTTATGTGATGCCCAAATCCAGCTACTCCACTGACCAGAACAAGGTGGTATCTGTGTTCTACATGGTGGTGATCCCCATGTTGAACCCCCTGATCTACAGTCTCAGGAATAATGAGATCAAGGGGGCTCTGAAGAGAGAGCTTGGGAGGAAAGTGTTTACTTAGTCAGGTTTGGTATTTTCTAATCTTCATTATAGAAATGTCTATGTAATTCTATTTTTAACTTTTTCAAGACTTTCCATATTGATTTCTATAGTGACTAGACTAACTTACATGTCTACCAACAGTGTGTAAGCATTCCTTTTCCCCATATCCTTGATAATACTTTTTCCTCAAGGATAGTTATTTTGACTTCATTGAAATGAAATCTTAATTTAGTTTTGATTGGTATTTACCTGTTAGCTACAGAAGTGGAAGTTTTTTTTACATGTAGTTATTGGTCATTGGCACCTCTTCATTTGAAAAATATCTGTTAAATTAAAAAACCACCAGTATGTATAAGTATATGTAAAAATAAACTGACTTTCTGAGATGATCCTGTAATCATCGATACATAATTAAATTACCTATTGAGAAATTTTTAGTAAGCATGGTTCATTTTGAGATCCTGTCCCAACCAAGAGGTTTAATGTTATGATATAAAATCTCACTGAATTTATGATTAAGAATATGAACTGTGTTTGTAAAACAAAATTTGTTAACAATTCTTTAAAAGTCTTTTCACCCCCCAAAAAGTGTTTACTAGAATGTATTAGTTTGGATCTTAAGCTCCCTGATTTTATGACCATAAAATTATTTAATTTCAATTCTTTCTGTGATTTTTGGTCGTAGTTGAAATGATGAGGAGCTAAGAAGGGGATCTTTAACACACTGATTAAAAACATTCTCCCTGCAGAGTTACAGTGACACAGATATTTTTCCTTTTGTGAGCTTTCTTCATTCTTCTTTGTTCCTTTTTTGTGTTTTATGTCCACTATTGTATTTTAATGTATTCTGTCTATGAGCTTATTATTTCTTTCTTCTGTTTGATCTACTCTCCTGATCATGTATTCTATCACATTTTTAATGTGATAAAGCATATCTGGTTGATTTATTTTTTATTATTTCAAAATATAATATTTTGAGCTGGGTACTGCTGGCTTATACCTGTAATTCTAACTACTCAGAAGGCTGAGCTCTGAGGATTGTGGTTCAAAGCCAGCTTAAGCAGGAAAGTATGTGAGACTCGTATCTCCAATTAACTACCGAAAACTCTGGAAATGGAGTTGTTGCTCAAGTGATAGAGTGCTAGCCTTGAGTAAAAAAGCTCAGGGACTGCATTCAAGCCCTGAGTTCAAGCCCCAGTACTGCTTGCCTCCCAATACACATGTGTACACACACACACACACACACACACACACACACACACACACTATATATATATATATATACACACACACACACTATATATATATATACACACACACACACACACACACACACACACATACATGTGATATTTGTAAAACCTCAGTTGTTAATAGTTATATCGTTTTGTCAAATACTTTTTTCAAAAAAAGTAAATACTACAAAGTCCATAGTGATATGTTTTTTATATGATCTGAAGATCTTATACAATTTTTCTGAGGCTCTGGTACTACCCATACAACATGTAGCACATTTCTCAGAAATACTGCTCAGTCAGGATTTTTATATTTCTCCTATGATCCAGTGTGAAAACTAATCGGTGTATTTGTCCACAATTCTAACTGAAGCTGCATGACATTTAACAAGCTTGATCATATTTATTGTTACTGTCAGGGAAAACAAATTAACAGACTATTTTGACTTTAGGTGAATGAACCCCAAGGTAAGTATTCAAATGTTTTTTCTTTCATATGATTGCTTCTCACATATTTATAAGATGATTTCTTTGTTGCTTTGTATGTCCCTCCCCCATGGTGTAACCCCTGCATTTACTGTATTTAATGTCGGTATAATTGGTGGAGG